CATACACTTGGATTCGGATTCATGGTATCTTAGTTATTGTATGCCGATACAAATATGCAAATGGATGAGTGTTTGTTCGTTGTTATAGAATGTTTGTGACAACCCTGTAGGTATCTAGGACGAATTTTGCCAAGAACATCGACAGGTAGACCTTTTATGATATCATAAATTGTCTCGTCACCAGAATCTTGGATTGGTTTAATACTGTTTAAAACAAAGTTTAAAACAGTATTAAACAAGCAAATTACTGTTGATTTCAATGATTTGAGCACTATGCGCACTCATATTCTAGCCAATGATTCATCAATTCAGAGAATGATATCACTGACGGGAGTTCTATTTTACAGCTACATGTAAGAAATATGATGTAATTGTGTTAGATTTCCATAACTCTGTCGCGTTTACTCGAGACATCAAGGAATGGAGTCAAAATCCAAGTCGACCACTCAAGCCCCCAGGAGCGTGGCAAGCAGCGTGGCGAACAGCATTGGCAGCAGCGTGGCAGTTGATGGCCATAAAGCAACGAGTAATATAAATCCACAACCTTTCATCAATTAAACATTGGGTGCAGGACACCAATCGACACTGAGCCAAATCCGACCCAGTGCAGTTGAGGAGCTTAGCAGCGAGGCGAGCAATGTGGCAAGCGGCGTCGCAAGCAGCGTATCAACCAGCAATGGCAGCAACGAGGCGAGCAGCAAACCAAGTAGCGCGACGGGCAGCTTTGGAAGCAGCGTGGTGAATGGTCTCCATGAAGCAACCAGTAATATATATCCACAACCTTTCATCAACTGATACCCCGAAACTGATGCAGGACACCAATTGACACGAAGTCAAATCCGACCCATTGTAGTTGAGGCATTTAGTAGCGAGGCAAGTAACACGGCGAGCAGCTTAGCAACCAGCGAGGCCAGTAGCATTGAGGCGAGCAACGTGTCAAACAGCGTGTCAAGCAGCAATGACAGCAGTGAGGTGAGCGGCATGCCAAGTAGCGTGGCGAGTAGCATTGGCAGCAGCGCGGCAAATGGTGTTCATGAAGCAACGAGTAACATAAATTCGCAACCTTTCATCAACTGAACATTGAGTGCAGGACACCAATCAACACTGAGTCTAATCAGACGCAGTGCAGATGAGGCGCTTTGCTACGAGCAAGCAAGCATTACTGGAAGCAGCGAGATGAGCAGCGCGGGCAGCAACGTGGCAAGCAGCGAGGCAAGCACGTATGGCAGCAGCATCGCGGACAGCGTGCCAAGTAGTATGGCAAGTAGCATGGCAAGTACCGTGGACAGCAGTGTGGACAAGAACATGGCGAGCAGCATTGACAGCAGCGTGGTAAATGGTGGTCATGAAGCAACGAGTAAAATATATCCACACCCTTTTATCAACTGAACCTTGGGTGCAGGACATCAATCGACACTGAGTCAAATCCGACCCAGTGCAGATGAGGCGCTGAGCAGTGAGCAAGCAAGCAATAATGGAAGTAGCGAGACGAACGACGTGGCAAGCAGCGTGACAAGCAACACTGAAAGCAGTGAGGCAAGCAGCATTGGTAGCAGCGTAGGCAGCAGCGAGGCGAGCAACGAAGCAAGCAGCGTGGTAAGCAGATACGGCAGCATCGTGGCAGGCAGCGTGTCAAGTACCATGGCAAGCAGTATGGGAAGTACCGTGGACAGCACCGTGGATAACAACATGGCGAGCAGCATTGACAGCAGCGTGGTAAATTGTGGTCATGAAGCAACGAGTAAAATATATCCACACCCTTTCATCAACTGAACCTTGGGTGCAGGGCATCAATCGACACTGAGTCAAATCCGACCCAGTGC